TGTGTATGTCTGTATGAGGGTGTTGAAACCCCTGGAACTGGAGTTACAGTCTTGAGTTGCCATGTGAGTTCTGGGAATCGAACCCAGGTCCTCTGGAAGAGCAGCCACTGCTCTTACCAGCTGAGCCGTCTCTCCAACGTCTTTCCCATTTTTAAGGAGAAGGGGTGAAAGTCCTGTTATATAGCCCAGGCTGGCCTCGAACTCACAGAGATCCGCCTGACTCTGCCTCCCAAGTGCTGGGATTAAAGGCGTGTGCCACCGTTGCCCGGCTCCCCTCCTCCCCTTTTTAAGAAGAAAGGCTAAAGGTCCTGTTATGTAGCCCAGGCTGGTCTTAACTGGTGATCCTTCTACTTCAGCCTCCTGAGTGCTGGGATTATAGACGCAGACTGCCACACATGGCCATTACGTCATTCATGTCTCATGTTTTCAGGAATAGTTCCTTAGCCATCTTTTTTCAAGGTATTGTCAGTTTGATAGTGAGTTTTGTATAATGTCCCTCAATTTTGGCTCTCTGGTGTTTCTGGTAGATACAGGTTGTGCAGTTTTTAAGGGCTGCTGTAGAATGCTGTTGGCTTTTTGTACCTCATTTTTTTTATAAAGTGTATTAGTGTATATTAATTATACATAATGATTGGTTTTATCGGTAATATTATGTTTTATTATGACATTTTCATACATGTACAAAGTGTATTTCAGGGCTGAAAAGTTGGCTTAGCCATTAAAAGCTAGGCTCACAATCAGAAAGACAAGAGTTCAGCTTCCAGAATGTGTTTGAATCATATTCAACTGCCCCGCACCCTTCTCTTGTTCCTTTCAAACTCCTTCCTGCTAATCCCCTTCCTCTTCCTAACTAGCACCCCCCCACCCCGCGCGCCTTTCATACTTTTTGCTTGCGGGGGTGGGGGTGGGGGTGGGGGTGGGGGGTGGGGCATAGTGAGTTTCATAAGGGTTATTTACAGAAGCACAGGCACCTTACTCGTGGCTACACTGCTAAAGAAAACGCTTCTCCCTCCCTCCCCCCATTAATTCTGTAGAAATCTTGAGAGAGGAGTGGGGCTCATGAGCCCCTCCCTTCCATGACAAGGCAACTGGTCCAGTTTTGTGTAGCTCTTGCGCAGGTAATCATGGGTCTGTGAGTTCAGGAGTGCCGCTGGAACTCAGCATTACACCCACCACCTCCTCCGGTTCTTGATGTGATTTCCACCTCTTTTTCTGAAATGTTCCCTGAGCCTTGGAGGGGGTCATTAGGTTTCCCACTGGTTGCCATTCAACAGATGTTTTTTTTTTCTAAGTCTCTGTAGCTACTGCTGACTGCTGACCACTGACCGTGGCGGTGGGGGTGGAGCAGGAGACGCTTTTCTGAGCAAAACCGAGAGCAGCATTACTGTATGGGCATAGACAAGGCACATGATGCCTCCAGCGACAGGGTCTCAGCTC